TAACCCTTCATGCTGTGTTGTGCCATCACAACCCCATGCTTGATGTTATGTTGATGTTTTTCTCATAATCCCAGCCACTAGACCACTAGGATATACCGTAAGGGCTCGCGCCCATAACCCCCCAGGCTCTGCTGCTGAAACCCTTCCCTACTATCAATCAGGCCTCCCCTTTGCAGGCCTTCAGACATCGCCCCTCATAGGATGATCTGAGACACGGTACAGCTGCGGCGACATGGGCGACAGCACGTGCGTACATAGGGATTCGAACCTGAGATATCCGATCCGACACCATTTCAGAACCACACATGAAGGATTGTTAAATAACAGGTGGGTGCGCCCATAACAGGGCCCAAAATTGGTTTGGGCCCACCCTGACTAATCAGGGTTTAAGGCCAGCTCTACCATGTGCCATAAACATCCTAAAATAACTTGTACACTGATTATGAAAGTGTAAAAATGTTTACAAGTTATGTAACAATCTGTTTGCACTTCACTGATTATAGGATATGTCTTAGCTGGTTAGATGTTTGGCTAGGTATTGTAAGATCGCAAGTTCAAATCCCTGCAACAATCGCAATGTTTTGCGGCTTCGCAAGGAAAATCCTTGCCACAGAGCATTCGGTATCAGTGTAATGTACAGTGCACCCTGATACCGGCAGGGTAACCGAAATCGTTATCAGTGTAAATCAAAACTTAGACTTTTTGCTCTAGGGTAAAAACTTTGATACCATGTTTTTGCAAGAGTAACTGGGAAAAAGCGGCCACCCATCAGAGTAAAAAGGGTATTTTACCCTGACATTTTGGGCCCTGGCCCATAACCTGTCAAATTGCAACAGTGCGTGTTAGGCTATAGTGGGGCACTCCATATGGGGTACAACACATTCTAGGGCTAGTACTTGTACCCCAATCCTTGCTAGTCATATCATTCCGCTATTCTTGATTCTGACATGGTATCATGCGCTAGGTTAGGTCCTACTGCCGAACCTACGATTAGGTTGGGTTTGCCCCGCTACCCCGCGCCTCGAACGCCACTGCCCCACTGCCCCGCACGTTGCGCGCGCCCTGCTGCCCGCGCACGCCTGTTGCTCACGCACGCCCTGCTGCCCGCACGCCCTGCTGCCCAAGCACCCTGCTGCCCGTGCGCGCCAGCTACCTGCGCGCCCTGCTGACAGCGGGCCCTGCTACTCGCGCGCGCCCTGCTGCCCGCGCGCGCCCGCTGCCTGCGCGCCCTGCTGCCCGCGCACCCTGTTGCCCTCGCGCCCTGCTGCTTGTGCGCGCCCTGCTGCCCGCGCGCGCTTTGCTGCTCGCGCGCCCTGCTGTTTGCGCGCGCCCTGTTGCCCGCGCGCCCTGCTGCTAGCGCGTGCCCTGCTGCCCGCGCGCCCTGCTGCTAGCGCGCGCCCTGCTGCCCGCGCGCCCTGCTGCTAGCGCGCGCCCTGCTGCCCGCGCGCCCTGCTGCTAGCGCGCGCCTTGCTGCCCACGCGCCCTGCTGCTAGCGCGCGCTCTGCTGCCCGCGCGCCCTGCTGCTAGCGCGCGCCCTGCTGCCCGCGCGCCCTGCTGCTAGCGCGCGCTCTGCTGCCCGCGCCCCCCGCTACTAGCGCGCGCCCTGCTGCCCGCGCGCCCTGTTGTTTGCGCGCGCCCTGCTGTTTGCGCGCGCTCTACTGCCCGCGCGCTCTACTGCCCGCGCGCCCTGCTGCTAGCGCGCGCCCTGCTGCCCGCGCGCCCTGATGCCCAGCGCGCGTGCCCACCAACTGCCGCTACAGCCACTGCAACAGTCGCTACTGCTGTTGCAGCCACCGCACCTGCCACTGCAACTGCCGTTACAGCTGCAGCCGTCGCAGTCGCTACTGCCGCCCTTGCACCACTGCTGCTGACTGCCACTGCCTGTCATGGCCAATATCACTTTCCTAGTGGTTGACGTAGATGGGCGCCCTTTCATGTTCGAGTTCTAGCTTGACTGCCTGCGTTTGGTATCTCCGGCGTTTCATTAGAGATCGCGTCTCCCTGTTCGAGCACACGTCGGGGTCCCTTCAAACCCCCACGACTCCCACTGAGCCTGCTGCTGACGCTGGCGAGGACGTGCAGTGCCGGTACCGAGCAGTCCGCGTTGCCTGCACACGGTGGACGGAGCGTGGCGCTGTCGCCCAGCTTGCTGTCCGTGCTCACCTGCCGTTCGCCAGGTGACGTTGGCCCAGAGTTTTTACGACGCTGTGGTTAGTCACTACTCCTCACTCTCTCCTGCCACCCGGCCAGTGCGGCAGCGCCGTCCGTTGTTGTGGGAGGCACAACAACTGGTCGAGAAGGCGAGTGTAGGTACCTGTGCGTCTGCTAGTACAGGTGGTACCGCTGGTGGCGACGGAGGTTTGGGGGTGGACAGCAGTGGCAGCAGCGTCAGCCGGAGACCCTCTCGCCACATCCGCTTCGGGAGTGGGTTTCCCAGCGACGCGTCCCTGGTGGTGTGGGGGCTACTAGTCTAGGTGCCTGTGAGCCTGCTAGCACAGGTGCAGCCCCTGCGGAGGCTTTGCACACCTTCACGCTTGACTCAGGCGCGTCTCGCTACTTCTTCCGCGACTGCACCACACTCACACCGCTCACTACACATGTCCCAGTCACTCTGGCTGACCCCTCTGGCACCACCGTCTTGGTCACCCCTCCCTGCCGCGTCTGCGCGGCATGCACTCCCGTCTCCTTGTCTCTGGCCTTCCCAGGTCCCTGCCCCCGCTCCCCCACTCGCCTGCCCTGCCGTGCCTTCCCTGCGTCGAGGGGCGGCAGCGCGCCGCTCCTCACTCTTCCTCGTTTCCTCCGACCACTGCTCCTCTGCAGACTCTCCACATGGACGTATGGGGCCCCGCCACTGGACATGACCGAGAGCGCTACTTTCTGCTGGTTATTGACGACTACCACGCTACACCACGGTCTTCCCCTTGCAAAGCAAGGCGTATGTCCACAGACGCACTGTCCGTCGCCAGCTTAGCGCCCGGTTCCAGCAGGACCTCCAGGTCCTGCGACTGCACTCTGACCGAGGTGGTGAGTTTTCCTCGCGCCTCCTTGAGGACTTTTGTCGTGGGGAGGGCATCGCCCAGTCGTTCACGCTTCCGACCTCTCCACAACTGAATGAGATTGCTGAGCGCCGCATTGGCTTGATAATGGAGGTTGCTCGCACCTCCATAATCCATTCGGCTGCTCCCCATTTTCTGTGGCCGTTTGAGGTCCAATACGCCGCGCATCAGCTCAACCTCTGGCCCCGTGTCTCTGTGCCACATACCTCGCCTGCACTGCGTTGGACGAGGGAGGTTGGCGATGCGTCGACGTTTCGGGTCTGGGGTTCGCTTACCCTTGTCCGCGATACCCCGTTCGCTGCGCCTTCCTTGGCTTTCCCGCCGACGCGCCTGGCTGGCAGTTTTACCACCCCGCCACGCGTCGCATCCTGTCCTCCCAGGACGTCACATTTGACGAGTCGGTCGGCTTCTACCGTCTCCACCCCCACAGCACTTCCCCCACCCCCCCCCCCTCCCCTCTTCCTGGTTCCAGGTCCCCCCCCGGTAGAACCCATTCCCCCACAGGGTCCTGCTCCCTCAGGTGTGTCTCAGGTTGACCCACCCCCCTTGGTTGAGCCATTGGAGGTCTCCTCTGACACCTCTGGCCCAGCTGAGGGGGGTGACCCCGCCGCTGACAACACAACGGTCACTCGCCGCTCCCAGCGCTTGGAGACCCCTCCTGGTTTTCTGCCTCGGCCGTCTTCACCGCCTCTGCAGGCTGTCGCTGTAGACTCCGGTGCTGCTGGGGGTGGTGACAATGGAGGTGCGACTCTGGGGGTGCTGAATCTGGAGGTGCTGGTTCTGGGGGTGCTGAGTCTGGGGGTGCTCGTTCTGGGGGTGCTGAGAGTCCAAGTGGTGGTGGAGTCGTGGGTGCTCCTACTGGAGGTGCTGGGAGTGGACAGCAGCGACAGTCTCGTCGGCAGGAGACCCTCTTGCCGCAGCAGCTTCACGAGTGGGTTCTTCGGCGAGGCCGATCTGGTGACGGAGCTGGAGCTACTGGTGCTGGAGGTACTGGAGCTGGAGGTGCTGGAGGCGCTGGTGCTGGAGGTGCTGGTGCTGGAGGTACTGGAGTTGGAGGTGCTTGTCGGCAGCAGACCCTCTCGCAGCAGCAGCTTCGCGAGTGGGTTCTTCGACGAGGCCGCTCTGGTGACGGAGCTGGTGCTGGAGGTGCTGGAGGTGCTGGTGCTGGAGGTACTGGAGCTGGAGGTACTGGAGCTATTGGAGCTGGAGGCGCTAGTGCTGGAGGTACTGGAGCTGAAGGTGCTGGAGGCGCTGGTGCTAGAGGTGCTGGTGCTGGAGGTGCTGGTTCTGGATGTCAGAATGAAAGAAACAGGAATGAATGAACTAGCACAAAGTTGGGTACAAGTAGGAAACCCTAAGTTTGTGTACCCCCTAAGGCTAAACCCACTATAGCCTACACAATGTAAACATACAATGTTTGACACACCCCCATAGGCGAAGTGGGAGATAACCAGAGGGTCACAAGACCAGTCAAAGCAAAGCAAAGCAAAGCAAAGCTCAGGGTGGATCTCAAGGATACCACACAAATTCCGAGCACAAGCAAGCGGTCACAAGACCAGTTCACATGCAGTTTGATAATAAACAAGAGGTACAATGATCACAACCTAGCAAGTGTAAGCATGCAGGTATATATATAGAGATCACAGTACAAGCAAAGTCAAGAAGTGAGCAAGTGAGGGAGAGTAGGCACAAGGCCTAGAACAGTACAGAAACGCTGATGATCACAAGGCTGAAGCGCCTTGGTGAACACATCAGCAGTGTTGGCCCGAGTGGCCACGTACGAAAGACGAAGCTGACCACGCTGCTGCAGCTCTCGAGCAAGGAAGTAGCGCAGAGCGATGTGCTTCGTTCTGTGCTCCAGTCTGTGCTCTTGACACAAGGCAAGGGCGTCCTTGTTGTCGACGTACAGCACTGGAGGAGAACGAGGCCGCTCTCCCAGGTCGGTCAGCAGGTAGGTGAGCCACAAAGCTCCTGGGCAGCCATGGCTGTGGCGTAGATCTCAGCCTCACAACTGGAGCTGAGAACAGAGGAAGAGCGTGTAGAACGCCAAGAGACTGAGCCAGAGCCAAGGCTGAAGGTGTAACCCTGAGACGACCGCTGAGTAGCCTGGTCGTCAGCCCAAGAAGCGTCTGAGTGTCCAGTGAGGACAACGTCGCGCCGTCCTCCAAGCACAAGCCCCATGCCCGACGTACTGCACAAGTAGCGCAACACCCTCTTAGCTGCATCCATGTGCTCCTTCCGGTGACGGCCAGGAGCGACATAGCGTGCTAGGATGCTAAGCGGGTAGGCTAGGTCAGGTCGAGTGCAGGTCATCAGGTACATGAGGCAGCCCACAAGCTCTGGATACGGGCCACTCGGCTCTACGGACTCATCCGAAGGCAGAGCTGAGAGCGAGTGACCGGTAGGCAGAGGAGTGGGCTGAGGCGAGGAGTACGTGAAGCGGAAGCGCTGAAGGACCTGCTGCACCATGTGTGACTGAGTCAAGGTGATGGTGCGCTGTGCTCTGTCCCGGGTGATCCGCAAGCCAAGATAGCTTGTCAGCTCACCCAGGTCTGTGCACGTGTGTCTCTTCTGCAGCTCCGACTTCACGTGGGCGAGTGCCTCAGTGTCAGCAGTAGCAAAGACCAAGTCGTCTACGTACACGAGAACGTAGAACGGCGGCAGAGTGGTGTCGGTGCGTAGAAACAGCGACGGGTCAGCAGTAGAAGGAGCAAACCCAAGAGCAGCAAGAGTAGTCCTCAGTGTGTCGTGCCACTCACAGGGCGCCTGGCGGAGACCGTAGACTGGCCGCCGGAGGCTCCACTGGGTACCAGGAGGGAACGACCCAGTGAAGCCAGGTGGGCGGCGCAGCCAGATCTCCTCGTGCAGGGTGCCCTGTAGGAACGCAGTGCTGAAGTCAAGGCAGTGGAGCTCGTAGTCACGCTGAGCAGCGACGTGCAGCAGAACCCGAAGAGTGGTCATCTTCGGGGTCGGGGAGAAGGTCTGGAAGAAGTCAACTCCCTCTCGCTGACTGAAGCCTCGTGCAACGTAACGCGCCTTGAAGACAGGCGGAGAACCCGGCGGCCGCTTCACCCTGAAAATCCACATGCCACTGACGATGTTCGCCCCAGGTGGGGGAACCTCGTCAACGTAGGTGCCTGTGGACTTCCAGGAAGCCATCTCTGCGTCCATGGCTGTCTGCCACTGAGAGGAGTAGAGACCCTCCATCGCCTCTGCGTAGGAGCGTGGGGTCGGGATGTCTGGTGCATCCGGGTCTCCCTCAGGGGCAATCGGCATGGACACGAGATGAGGTAAAGCAGCAGCAAAGCACTCAAACTCCTCCTGTCTGTCCTCAAGGACGTCCGTGCCAAGAGCACACTCACCCCCGACGGACGGAGGACAGACAGACTCAGACTCAGCGACAAGGCTAGCGGCGTAGTCTAGACGACAGGCGGCAGCAAAGTCAACAAGCTCAGCGACTAGAGCAGACGCAGCAGAGGACTCAAAGGTAGTGTCAGTGACAACAGTGGCAAGGAGACGCGCGACAGTAGGACTGGCAGCACGAGTAAGGTCTGACGGCGGGTCGGCAACGTCAGGAAGAGAGGACGCAGGAGGAGACGGCAGAGGGACGCGCTGTGGAGCAGTGGACGGACGCAGGGTCATGTAGTGAGTGCCTAGGACAGGAGGAGGACGCTCACGTGGAGCACGACGACCAGTGCGGGCAGTGTGGACAGGCGACTCTGGACGAGACTCAGAAGACGCAGGACTAGACTCAGGCGACGGAGGCCGAGACTCAGGCTCACGACGCTCCGTAAGACTACCCGACGGCGCAGTGTAAGGAGAAGGAGCAGGCAGCGGAGAGGCAGACTGTAACTGTGACTGCGACTGGACAGACGGTGGACTCAGTAGGGGAGGAGAAGGACCAGTAGAGGGCGGGAGACCAAGAACCTGCTGAAGGAGTGGAACGTAGTACGGCCTCGGCCGCTCAGCACCTCCAGCTCCAACCCCCTCAGCAGGCTCAGTCCCAGCAGCTCCAGAACCTCCAGTACGAGCACCTCCAGGACTAGCAGCTCCAGTAGCTCCAGCAGCAGCAGCACCTCCAGCAACGTCAGTAGTACCAGTACCTCCAGCAGCACCAGCACCAGCAGCACCTCCAGCAGCGCCAGCAGCACCGCTAGCAGCAGCAGCACCTCCAGCAGCTCCAGTAGCTCCAGCACCAGCAGCACCTCCAGCAGCGCCAGCAGCACCGCCAGCAGCAGCAGCACCTCCAGTAGCTCCAGTAGCTCCAGCACCAGCAGCACCTACAGCAGCGTCAGCAGCACCAGCACCTCCAGCAGCACCAGCACCAGTAGCACCTCCAGCAGCACCAGCAGCACCAGGGTCCGCGACGCGAGGAGCGCCACTCCGGAGACTGCAGTGCCGAGCGTACCACTCTCGGAGCTGCTGGGGAGAGGGCAGCGCCCGCCTAGGAGGGGAAGCACTAGCACCAGCTCCAGCAGCGCTCCTAGCTCCAGAAGCACCCCTCCTGAGGCTGCAGTACTGTAAGTACCACTCACGCAGCTGCTCTGAGGAGAGAGCTCCTCCAGGTGTAGCACTCCCAGGCTCAGCACCCGCAGACTCAGCACCCGCAGGCTCCGCACCCCTAGGCTCAGCACCCCCAGACTCCGCAACCCCAGGCTCCGCACCCCCAGGCTCAGCACCCCTAGCAGGACGAGAGTCGACAGCTACCTCGACAGGCTCAACCGGGTCTACCTGGGACACACCTGAGGGAGCGGCACCCTGAGGGGGGAGGGGGTCTACCACAGCAGCACCTGGCGCGAGGAAGAGAGGCGGGGGGGGGGAGCGGGGCAGTGCGGTAGGGGAAGAGGCGGTAGTAGGGCACCGACTCGTCAAAAGTGACGTCCTGAGAGGGCAGGACACGGCGCGAGGTGGCGTGGTAAAACTGCCAACCAGACGCGTCCGGGACAAAGCCAAGGAAGACACAAGGAACAGCGCGGGAGGAGAGCTTGTCCGCGGACGTATCGCGGACAAAAGCTCGAGATCCCCAGACCCGAAAACGCGACGCATCGCCAACCTCCCCCGTCCACAGCAGTGTGGGTGAGGTCTCCGGCAAGGAGACACGGGGCCAGAGGTTGAGCTGATGCGCAGCGTATCGGACCGCAAACGGCCACAGAAAGTGGGGGGCAGCCGCATGAATCAAGGAGGTACGAGCGACCTCCATGACCAAGCCAATGCGGCGCTCAGCAACCCCATTCTGCTGTGGAGAGGCCGGAAGCGTGAACGACTGCTCAATGCCGTGCTCCGCACAGTAGGCTGCCAAGAGGTCGGAGGAGAACTCACCACCTCTGTCAGAGTGCAGACGCAAGACAGGAAAGTCCAAGTGGAACCGCTCGCTGAGCTGGAGACGTGAAGCGCGGATCCAAGGGATCAAAACAGCAGGGACCTCACCCTTGGTGCGCAAGGGGAAGACCGTGGTGTAGCGCGAGTAGTCGTCAACAACGATCAGGAAGTACCTCTCCTGACCCTGTCCACAGACGCGGGCTGGGCCCCACACGTCCATGTGGAGCGTCTGCAAGGGAGCAGTCGTCGGGGGAAACGAGGAGGAGTGAGGAGCGGCGCGCTGCCGCCCCTCGACACAAGGAAGACAGGGAGGAGCACGCGAGGGTGGGAGGGGAGGGAGTACCCGGGGAAGACCAGAGACAAGGTACCGTTTGTGCATGGCACGAAGGCGCTGCACTGACGGGTGACCAAGGCGGTGGTGCCAGAGGACAGTCTCGTGCGCCAGAGAGCGACACGAGCAGGGGACAGACAGCTGCCCTGACGCAGACGCAGACGCAGCTACCTGAGGGGACTCAGTGGTCAGTGTGTACAGGTCCGACCCCGGCTGCCGAGTGAAGGTAGCCAGGTGACGGTCCGTCCGAGCACATGTGCAGTGTGTCACGCGCTCGTAGGCAGGGGTGAACTGGTGGACACCCCCGTCCTGGAACGCACAACCCGCCACCAAGTTCGTAGAGAACGAGGGGAGGTGGAGACCTGACAGTGTGCCCGGCGGAACCGCAGGACAAGGAAGGACAGTGGAGGAGGTCGCAATGACCGGACCCCCAGAGGGGTCAGCAAGGGAGACAGCAACTGGCCGAGCAAGCTGCTCAAGGGCAGTGCGGTCACGAAAGAAACAGCGAGAAGCTCCTGAGTCTAGCGTGAAGGTGTGCAGTGCCTCAGTGGACTTAGTACCTGGGGGTGCAGACTCACTAGCACCTGGAGCAGCAGTCTCACCAGCACCTGGGGCAGCAGACACGTAAGCACCTAGAGCAGCAGCCTCACCAGCACCTGGGGCAGCAGACACGCAAGCACCTAGAGCGGCAGCCTCACTGGTGCGAATGTCCGGGTCGGGCGGAACACGCCGGTACTGATCAACCTCTCCACTAGTAGACAACACATACATGGCAGTGAGAATAGCATCAAAGTCAAGAGCATAGACATCAATGTTCTTCTTGATCAGATCAAACCAGCGGGGCAGCTCAGTGGCAGTAGGGAACTGAGTGCGCCAAGCGCCGTCGAGGCGGGAGAAGCAGCGCTGCGTGGTGTGCGCCCTCCCACACGTCTGGCCAGTGCGGTCACCAGTGCGGATGACGTACGTGCAGCTAAGGCCACCCCCCCCCCCCCCCGTGCTGAGAGTACCACTCACGAAGCTCCTGGGGCGACGGAGTCTGCTGTCCGCCAGCGCCACCACGACCACCACCCCCGCCGCCACCACCTCGACCACCACCGCCCCTGCCGCCTCCGCGTCCACCGCCTCCCCAACCACCGCCCCCACCCCGGCCACCTCCTCCGCTGCTGCCGCCTCCACCCCCACCGCTGCCACTAGCCCCTCCAGCCCCGCCACCACCCCCACCGCCGCCACCGCCCCCACCCCCACCCCCACCTCCCCCGCCGTCACCTCCACCTCCCTTGCCCCCTTTGCCCTTGCCGCTGCGGCGCCAGCTTGGAGCGGACGCAGTCCCGACCTGCTCAGTACTAACTAGGTCGACAGCAGCAGCATAGGCGACAGAGGGGAGAAGGGGGGAAGGGGAACACCCCTCGAAGAAAGGGGTGCGGGGGTCGCCACGAGAGGCAGCTACAGCGACTATGCTAGTCTCTGCTGCAAGCAGTTCCTTCTCGAGCAGGTCTATGGTGAGCTCAGTGGGGGAGCGAGCGAGGAAGTGGTCCCTGATCGCACGAAGAGAGTCAGGGAGACGGGTGACAAGGTGGTAGAGAGTGAGCCAGAGCGGGGGGGGGTGGGTGGCAAGAAACTCAGCGGGCATAGCGGCACGGAAGCGAGCCTCACTAGTGCGGAGGTGCGTGGTGAGGTCAGCGACTGTGGCGAAAGCGGACAGGTCTGGGAACAGGTAGGGAAGCGAGAGACGGCCTAGCGCAGCAGAGGCAGGTGAGGAGTAGCGTGCAACTACAGCAGTGTACAGTGCCTGCGCAGTTTTGTGCTGGCCAAAGTGCTCGCGCTCATCTACCGGCAGGGAGTTGCGAATAGCAAAGCGAGTGTGGGCGTCACGAGTCTGCCACTGGGAGCGGGCAGTACTGTCAGCAGTAACAGCAGGGGCAGCAGCGAGGCCTAGTGCGTGATTGTACAGCGAGATGTCCTCCTTGGCAGTGAGCTGGAGGAACAGGTGCAAGTCATCTAGCCAGGTGTCAAACTTCAGTGGGCGGCCCTCAGCATCGAAAGCGAGTACAGCAGGGCTAGCCATAGTTGCAGGAAGAGCAGTAGTAACAGCAGCAGTAGTAGCAGCAGCAGGAACAGTAGTAGTAGTAGCAGCAGGCGAAACCCTAAAAGCAGCAGGCAACACGACTCAGGTAGGGCGGTTCGGTCCAGAGGGGGCTGCTCAGTACGGGGAGGGCGGCGCGGCTCGGTTCGGGCGGCGCGGCTCGGCTCGGGCTGGGCGGCAAGCGCGTGCGGGGCTGCCGGGGCTGCTAGGTGGGGCGCGCGCGGGGTCGACGGGGCCGACGGGGCCTCTAGGTGGGGCGCGTGCGGGGTCGACGGGGCCGAGAGGGGCCGCTAAGGGGCGGCGCGCGGGGTCGACGGGGCCGTAAGGGGCCGCTAAGGGGCGGCGCGCGGGGTCGACGGGGCCGTAAGGGGCCGCTAAGGGGCTGCGCGCGGGGTCGACGGGGCCGTGAGGGGCCGCTAAGGGGCGGCGCGCGGGGTCGACGGGGCCGTGAGGGGCCGCTAAGGGGCGGCGCGCGGGGTCGACGGGGCCGTGAGGGGCCGCTAAGGGGCGGCGCGCGGGGTCGACGGGGCCGTAAGGGGCCGCTAAGGGGCAGCTCGCGGGGCCGACGGGGCCGCTAAGGGGCGGGTCGCGGGTCGCGGGGCCTTACAGGGCCGCTAAGGAGGGGCGCACGAGGGCGCTGGGGGGAGGCGCTCGAGGGCGCTCCGACAGTAGGGCGCACGAGGGCGCTAGTAGGTAGTCAGTAGTGGTGGGCCCTAAGAAAAAAATCGGTCCTAGCGGAGGACCTGCTCTGAAACCATGTCAGAATGAAAGAAACAGGAATGAATGAACTAGCACAAAGTTGGGTACAAGTAGGAAACCCTAAGTTTGTGTACCCCCTAAGGCTAAACCCACTATAGCCTACACAATGTAAACATACAATGTTTGACACTGGAGGTACTGGAGCTGGAGGTGCAGGAGGTACTGGAGCTGGAGGTTCTGGTACTGTGGGTACAGCGCAGCGGCGACCGTTTTTCTTTCCTCCGCCGCAGTCGTCGCTGCCACCACCTGACTCGGCACTTCGCCAGGTTCTTAGTCTTCCATCTTCCACTGGCCTTACTCCTCCTCTACTGTGTCCACCGCCAGACTCGTCTCAGAATCTGTTACCTACTGGCTCCCCCCTGCCTACTCCTTCTCCTTACACTGAGGTGACAGAGTCTCTGACAGAGAGTAGAGAGCCTGCGTCGCGTCCTGTCACGCCTGTTCGTACTCGTCGTGCTCCTCGTGCTCGCCCTCCACCTGTCCCCGGCACTCACACTTTGGCACTTCGTCCTTATTCTGTTCCACAGCGTGTTGTCCTACCTTCACCTCATGCGTCTTCTCTTCTTGCCGTTGCTGACCCTGAGTCTGACCTTGCACGTGCTGCTAGTCCTACTGTCAGGCATGTCCTGGCCACCCTTGTCACTGACCCTTCCTTTGAGCCTATTGCTGCGTCTGCCTTAGTCACTGAGCTCGTTGACTTTGCTGCTACCCGTCGTCTCGACTACTTCGCGAGTCTTGTTACTGAGTCTGAGTCTGACTGTCCTCCATCCGTCGAGGGTGAGCTTGCCCTTGGCTGTGACATCCTTGAGGACAGGCGGTTTTAGCTCGAGTGCCTCGTGGCTGCTGTACCTCATCTCGCTTCCATGCTGCTTTGCCCTGAGGGAGACCCGGATGCATTAGACATCCCGACTCCGCGCTCTTACGCAGAGGCGATCTCGGGTCAGAACTCCTCTCAGTGGCAGGCAGCCATGGATGCATAGATGGCTTCCTGGAAGTCCACAGACACCTATGTTGACGCAGTCCCCCCTTCTGGGGCGAACATAGTCGATGGCATGTGGATTTTCAGGGTGAAGCGGTCGCCGGGCTCACCGCCTGCCTTCAAGGCGCGTTACATTGCACGAGGCTTCAGTTAGAGATACGGGGTCGACTTCTTCAAGACCTTCTCCCCCACCCCGAAGATTACCATTCTTCGGGTGTTACTGCACGTTGCAGCACAGCGTGACTACGAGCTCCACTCGCTTGACTTCAGCACAACTTTCTTGCAGGGCAGCCTTCACGAGGAGATCGGGCTGCACCACCCACCTGGCTTCACTGTGTCGTTTCCTGGGGGTACCCAGTGGAGCCTCCGGCGGCCAGTCTACGGTCTCCGCCAGGCGCCCCGCAAGTGGCACGACACACTGAGGACTACACTTGCGGTTCTTGGGTTTGCTCCTTCGATTGCTGACTTGTCGCTGTTACTATGCACCGACTCTTCTCTGCCGCCGTTCTAAATCTTCGTGTACGTTGATGACTTGGTCTTTGCTACTGCTGAAACTGAGGCACTGGTCCTTGTGAAGGCGGAGCTGCTGAAGAGACACACTTGCACTGACCTGGGTGAGATGCGCAGCTATCTTGGCTTGCAGATCACCCGGGACAGATCTACGCGCACCATTACTATGACTCAGTCACACATGGTGCTGCAGGTCCTTCAGCGCTTTCGCATTCCGTTCCCCTCGCCACAGCCCACTCCTCTGCCTAACGGCCACTCAGGTCCATCTTCGGACGAGTCCGTAGAGCCGAGTGGTCCGTATCCAGAGCTTGTGGATTGCCTCATGTACCTGATGACTTGTACTCGGCCTGACCTCGCGTACCCTCTCAGCATCCTGGCCCGCTTCATTGCTCCCGGTAGACACCAGAAGGAGCACTGCACGGCTGCTAAGAGGGTGCTGCGCTACGTGGCCAGTACATCATGCATGGGGCTTGTGCTTGGAGGACGGGGCGGAGTTGTTTTCATAGGTCACTCAGACGCTTCCTGGGCCGATGACCAGGAGACTCGGCGTTCGTCACTGGGTTACACTTTCAGTCTCGGCTCTGGTTCTATCTCCTGGAGGTCCACCCGCTTGTCTTCTGTTCTCAGCTCCAGTTGTGAGGCTGAGATCTACGCGGGGACCATGGCTGCACAGGAGTTACGCTGGCTGACCTACTTGCTGGCGGAATTGGGTGAGCGGCCTCTTTCTCCTCCAGTTCTGTACGTCGACAACAAGGACATGATTGCCTTGTGTTGGGAACATAGGCTGTAGCATAAAACGAATCACATTGCGCTTCATTACTTTTTTTTTCGCACGAGAGTTATAGCAGTGTGGTCAGCTTCATCTTGCTTACGTGGCCTCACAGGCCAACACTGCTGATGTCTTCACCAAGGCCCTCGGGTATGGTGATCATCAACGCTTCTGCACTGCTCTTGGGCTTGTGCCCACTCTGCCTCACCTGCTTGTCTCTTGATCTAGCTTTGCCCTTGTTGTACACTGCTATATATATGTATACCTGCATGTTTTCACTTGCTAGGTTGTGATCAGTGTATTGACATTGCTATTATAACTATGCATGTGAACTGGCCTTGTGGCCGTTTGCTTGTGCTCGGACGGCGTGGTGATCTTTGTCAGAATCCCAACCACTAGACCATTGGGATAAAAGGGCTTGTTAAGTAGCGGGTCAGTGCGCCCATAACCCCCCAGGCCAACATGCCTGTAACCCTTCCCTAGGATCAATCGGGGATCACCAGTGGACCTCTGACACCCCCCCGCACTGGGATGCCCGAAGTGCACACACTGGGATTCGAACCCAAGACCTTCGCTCTGATAGCATGTCAGAATCCCAACCACTAGACCATTGGGATAAAAGGGCTTGTTTGTGTAGGGGGTTTGTGCGCCCATAACCCCCCAGGCGAACGCGCCTGTAACCCCCCTAGGATCAATCGGGCATCCACAGTGCAGATCTACTGACACCCCCCCACACTGGGAGGCCCAGGACTGAGCACAGCGGCAACGGCCTACATGTGCATACACCGGGATTCAAACCCGAGACCGCTCTGATACCATGTCAGAATCCCAACCACTAGACCATTGGGATAAAAGGGCTTGTTAAGTAGCGGGTCAGTGCGCCCATAACCCCCCAGGCCAACATGCCTGTAACCCTTCCCTAGGATCAATCGGGGATCACCAGTGGACCTCTGACAATCTTGAGACCCACCCTGAGCTTTGCTTTGTTTGCCTCTCTTGACTAGTCTTGTGAACATCTTGTTGTCCCCCACTTAGCCTGTGGGGGTGTGTCGAATTGCAACTGTGCTTGTTAGGCTATAGTGGGGCACTCCATATGGGGTACAACACATTCTAGGGTTAGTACTTGTACCCCAATCCTTGCTAGTCATATCATTCCGATTCTGACATAACCCCCCAATCTAGGAAGCATGTAACCCTTCACTAGGATCAATCTTGACAGCTTCCGCATAGTTTGCTTCTAAATAACGATGCCGCCCTCGCCACTCCGTCATTGGTGGTCGGGATCTCCATACACCTAGCTATGTCAGAGAATACGAGATACAAAAAGAGTTGCTGCCAATTCTCACTGGATTTCAATTGTCACTCTTCCAGCGTAAGGAAGTAAGGGTCATCAGCAAAATTTGGGTTTGATCAAACAGTTTCACTGTTGACAGTGCATGGGATCACATGGGACATTCTTGAGCGAGTTGCAAAGGAGAGTTTGTGCTGTTTGTGCTTCTTTCTGCCTAGGAAGCAAGAGGGAATAAATGGCGACCGTGAACGAGGAAGTGTAGGAAAGGTAGAACGTGCTCAACGATTGAGCGAGAAGGTTAGCTAACATCGATACAAGACGGGTGAGGAGATGTCGACAAGGAAATGGGTGTCTCTGGCTCCTCTACATCGATAGGAGCAAAGGGGTACGATGACTTGGCGGTGTTGGCCGTCTCATCGATAGCGGGAGTCACAAGTGTAAGAATATACTGGCTAGTGCAATGCATTGGAGCGCCTGCCTCCTCAGGGTCGATGGTAGGAGCCCGTGGGAGGAGCTTCTGTGCGAGCATCGACAGCCCTGGCCATTACATCAAAGAAGTGAGAGTGATATAGTGATCATGCGAGTTCAGGGGGAGCTTGAGGAGAACACCCCAATCTTAATGGGTGGGTGGCGCTGCGCGATTGGATGAACCGTATCACTCCCCTCGATTGCGC